GACAAGCGTAATCCGGCGAAGCAAGTTCTGCACGGACAATATACGTGCCAAGCGCACGCACAAAGCCGAGCGTGCTCAGCCAACCAGAAACAGTGAACGTGCAAGTAAATTTCACGAACAAAAAACTTAATAATGAAAGGCAATTACAAATATAATTACTAAATTAATCACCAAAGCAAGTTTCACCAACTATGCTTATGATATAAAACAAACCAATCCACAACTAACCACTATAAAATCCTTACAAGAAACGAAACACTACCACAGGAGCACTTTGACTCAGAGCGAGATACACAGGTCTGTCCTTGTCAGCAGAACAAGCTAAACTCCATCTGCGGCTTTGGCCGATGATTTTATTACCTACCTTTGCTGGCTCCGTTTTCTCACAGTAGCCAATCAGATAAGCCGCCGTTACAAACTGAGCTTGCAGTGTCAACAAAGTAGCGGTCGCAGCCGCGAAAAGTTTGTTCAGATTTTGCGGGAAAACATACAGACAAATTGACAGGTGTGAAACCTTAAAAAATAAAAGCAAGCTCCAGTAACAAAGTGCTTCCAACAATATATTATTGGTTGCCAAGTTTAATGGTTAGAATGCTTTGCAAAAGCGAAAGTGAGTTGTGATTGGTACGCCTCGACTTCAAAGCGGAGATACCTGGTTGATAAAATGCCAACCAAGGGAGTGTAATAAAATCATCGGGCCAGGCTGCATGCTCCAGGGTATAGTGGAGATTATCGTAACGTATGCCCTGGATTATCGAAGGACGCTGAACCAGGGGGCAGAACTGATACTCCATGACCTGCAGACTCTTGTATTTGAGGGGTAGGTGAGGATGGGCTGAAGATAAAAGGCAAAACGGATACTCATGACATGGTACTTTTGAATTACAAGTAAATATTCGTTCTTGTCTCCGGAATAACTGTATATTGCCCAGTTTCAACCAAATGTCGACGGATATTGAAATTTAGTTTGATCTATTTGAATCATCGTTACACCATTAAGAGACCGATAATGGTTTATTGTCCAAATGTATGCTTTCCAGATCCTGTTCTAGCCTCTATATCACAGTCTCAGAACTATAGTATTTTCCCCTTACTCCTAGCCCTCACCGTAATGCTTTACTCCCCTAATTAAAGCATGTTTAGATTTTTCCAGGTTCAGGTCTGTTATCAGGCTTCGGGTCACAGAGAGTAAACATACCAAACTCCCATGGCTGGCGGGACCAACATCTCCAGTAACATTTACATCTGCCAACAATAATTTTGCAAGTGGTGAAAGTCAATGCGCTAATGGGGCTTGGAGTCCTGTAACATATATACGATGCCTTGTGTATGCAGTCTAAAATCTAAGCAAGTCTAGCTGTATATGGGTTTAAATTACTGCTTTGAGAATGGCTTCTTAAGAACACGCAAGCTGAGTAGTAACTGACTGACTGACTGACTGACTGAGGATGTAGTTTTACGCCGCTTTGCAATGTTCCAGCTACATCACGGCGGGGAACACCAGAAATGGGCTTCACACAGTGTACCCATATGTGAGGATTCGAACCTGGGTCTTCGGCGACGGAAAGTCGAACCGGGACCTGATACTACCACCGCGGAAGTAATGGTCGAGAAGTGGTGGCGGACATCAACCTCCAGAATCCCGTCCTCCACCGACACAGGATGCCCAATTTGGTCGCCAGCACACAACCAGCATTGGGGTGTTGCGGATTCCATTTTCTCCTCCCCTGGTTCACAGGGGGAAGAGCTGTTAGCGTTACCGCAGCACTCACAACGAGGAGTACCGCTAGAGTTCGAAATTGGCAGTGGTGTGCTCTATCGTGACTTTCCAAGAGTGTCATTTGAATGTCCTAAAGATCCTTTGCTGATGGTGACAACAGTATAGCTGTTTCTAGCGAAGCATTTGTCTGTATAGACGGGAGCTGGCCATGGCCTCTCATGTCACATTACACATCATCATGTTACCAGATGACCAGCATTGATGAATATTGCCATCATTGTCACTGCCTCTGTTTACGTTAGCAATCTCTATCAGTCGTTGACGCCGTCAGAAGTTGAGCGAGGGAGGGAGCTGCTATGGAGGAACGGTCAACTTGAGGGCCGAACCCGCGAGTACTGGTGGTAGACCTTTGCTTTACCTGAATGGCAACTGTTTTGAACTTCTGTAGTGGGCTACGGCGACTACACAAAGCTTCGGCACACAAACTCACAAATATCCATGGAAGGACACGAGTACTGCGTTGCGAGGAAGATTACTCAAAAGAGCTGCGCGGGGCCTGAAGCATAGAAGAGTTAATTTGAAGAGATCGGGCATACACAATTATAGTAATCCTGCCCCGTGTCATGTTCAAATCTGCTTTGAGAAGTACTTATCACTGTGTCACTGAGACTGACTGAATGGGTAAAATGCAAGAATTTACCCCTTATCGCCATGTAAGTGCATCACACATTATGGTGATAACCAACTACAGGTAGCATATATATATTGCATGGAATGAGTGTATCACGACCAATGACAATTACTTCCGAAGAGTTGCAATGACCATACGCTCTAACTACACAAACAATTTCACAACAACACATCCAAAATGCGATACAAAACAAGGATAGACCTTATTTATAGATAAATACGCAACAGATTCAGGATTCGCGCGACTGGATCAATGTAATCCCACACTGGGCTTTGCAAGTAGTGTTTTGTTTATTAAGTCTAACGGTAGTGGAAAACAAAAATACACGTGTAACGAAATACTATTTCCAAAACCGGAAGTCATGCCATCCGTCCAGTTCAGCTGTTCGCGCCGAGGTGGGACTCCAAGTTTTGGGGGTATATTTTCAGTTTTCAGGTGTGTTATATTGTCTCCCAAGTGTAAATGTCCATAGGGTTAGGTAGTTTAGCAGCTCATATATCACAAACGCTCGGGTTTGTGGTGCAAGTAGCTTCAAATATGGGTAAGAGGATTCCAGTCGAGTGGAGCAATGCCTTGACCGCGGTGCGGAAAGTTGTTCTTAAAGGGCCTCTTCCATGTATGTGCTATTATAGCTCGATCGACCTATAGGCATAAAGCTCGTTTGAACTACTGTAGCTCGATCTAACTATTATAGGTCGTTTTACGGTTCTCCCCGACCTGGTAAACGCCATACTGAATGACGAGCAACTGGGAGTGATAGAGTCAACGGAGACCGTATCCAGGCCAGGCCAGGGACACAGCAACACCACCTCTGCAACCTCTAGCTCCACCGTCACGCTGGCGGCAGCACGCAAACCAGGCACCAGATTCCCATCGAAACCTGCGCGTTGTAAATTTCACAATGAAATAAATGTAAAAACATTCTTGTTCATGTTTGTTATTTTAGATTGGCACCTGGACGGTATCGCCGTATTCACACCCTTTGACATCTTTATAGAGGTAATTTTCAAATATTGTTTCGAGGCGAAGCCGAGAAACAATATTTGAAAAATTACCGATGTCCAAAATTCCGTGGGGAGATAAGTCAATGACAGAGGTGAAGCCGAAGTCTGACTTATCTACCCTGGAAGGTTAGACAGTCCAGCTGCCAAATAGCATACCCGGTTGTTATCCACATATCAACCTCTGCACGTGCAGATAGAAGGTTGATACACAGAAAATCAACCTGCCAGAACAATGGACATAACATACCCTAGTGGCGTAATGTAATATACTGCCTTTGGTTTTGTACTGCCACTCAATTTTGTACTGCCATGGAGACTTTTACTTAGAGTTTGTGAACTTTCAGAAAGCTTCAATTCCTTCCGTGCTAAAAAACACAAAACAGTTTATTTTATAATATGAATATCTTCACTGAAATCCCTTGACCAACCAATAAGGCTGAAAGAAGCTTGTCACCACAAATGATAATACCTGAATGTTTTATTAAGCTTAGAATCCCGGCTACAACAGTGCCCCAGTGCTGACCATGTCGAAAAGGTTTGTTATGTCTAACCAGTTATGTTTGTTCAAACTAATGTGCCAAAGGCCCGGGTTCGATTTCCCACATGGGTACAGTGTGTGAAGCCCATTTCTGGTGTCCCCCGCCGTGATATTGCTGGAATATTGCTAAAAACGGCGTAAAACCATACTCAGTCAGTCAGTCAAACTAATGTGCTCGAAATTGGTGTTCGTGTAGTTGATAGTAGAGTGTCAACACTTGTCCAGGTTTGTTTTGCTGTTTTCCTTAACTATGACGTTTGCACTTTACCATGCTCATAGATTAACGGACTTTACATTACTCAACCCGAAACAGCACATTCTTCAACGATACGGTACTTGTTCACTCTAATGTTCAGTTTCTCCAGTTACTCAACCAGACATTTTGGATTTTGTCCGACAATATTATATATAATGACATTCGTTTGACCATCCTGTTAAACTCTCTCCCAAGTGTATATTCCCATCTAAAAGTCGGAAATTTCTTCGATAGCACAAAAATTTGTATTAATTCTAGAGACTTGATTCGTGTTGAGTAAACCTGCAGTATACCAGTATACTTGGAAAGCCAAGAAAGAACAACCCAGATAATGCAGGGATCAAAATAGCATTGAACTTGTACGATGAAATGTTGTAAGACTTGCAAATCCCTTCACTATTTCTTCATGACACATCGCATACTTATCATCCAGCTGGTGAACTGGTGAGTTTTGGTACGTCCAAGCTGTGGGTGACTAGACCACTGTGTTCTAGAAGATTCCAGATTACACTTGACCGAAAAGGAATCTAAAAAATAGACTTCCACACCACTGCTTACATTAGGAAGTAATGCCTTGCTGACAACTGATTGTTTAGAAACATAATCTTTTTACCATTTAATGAACCTACACAGAAACAATGTGATACAATTACATCACTCTTTCACATTGAATTACAGCATCATGTAAATATCTTACTGAACCATGCATGAAGGTTGTTTTACTCAGCTTGACTTCTTTGAACTAAATTCAGGCACTTGATCCTTATGAAACACTTGAAGCCATGTGAGTACTGTCTGAGACATTACCTATTGGGTTTATACTTATGCTTTATACCACTGAATTCCAGAAAAGGGTAGTGGTACATGTTACAAAATGAGCTCACCCTCTCGCCAAGACTCTGATGGTGCCGACAGCGATGACACAGGGAGGTTACACCAGGCCTTTATTACTCCACGGGCGATTCAGGAAGTGATGTTGCCGAGGAGGAGGAGGAAGAGCAGGAGACGGTTCTGTATCAGCAACGATTTCCTTCCTCCTTTGGAGGCTATATATCACAGAAACAGCCACCACAAAACGGAAACACGTGAAGACACAGATGTTATTCATCAAAACGACGATGGACAAACGAATATGTCTCCATCGCCTCTGCAGGAGCTGTGGCACTGACACAAGGTGAGTTTGTGCGAAGGATTTGAAGTAAGTCATTGATTTTTCATAAACAATTGACCGTATTTCTGTATATTATCTTTTAAAACACGTGGGTTGTTTCTACTGCAGGTGAAACGCAAGACTTGACGCATGCTATAGCAGAAACATTCGGCAACGCCATGTCATCAGTGAATACCGAACAGCGAGTAACAAATATACGTAGGTATAAGTTTTGATTATATGTCAATATGTCAATACATATCATACTTATATATTAGATTCAGGAAGGTTTTGATTCATTTATGGTTGCAGTTATGGATGTGTAAATGTGTTAAAACATCAAAGACTGGCTATGCACTGAGCACAGCTGCCCTTTGGGGAAATTGGCATTCTACCCTACATCACTTTGTTACAGCACACGTTACATTTTAAGGGAAAATGTGTCTCAGTTTGATGCGAAACCTACACACACGCATGATCTGTCAAAGCTAAACACTGGGAAACAGATATATTTGTCGTTTTCCTTCATCCCATTAGCACATGTGTAGCAAGATGCGATGCGAATTGACGTAGGGAGGTTGTTCAGAGTAATATATGAGAAACAAACACCAACAACAGGGTGTCTTACGTTTACATTTGGATCTCTATGTACGCATCCCGTGTTCCAGTCATCCACACGGAGCAACCACTGAAGCCCTACTCTCTTCTTTCAGTAATCAACAACCCACAGCTCAACTTGACAAAGAAGACTGAGGTGGCCAATCTTACCGCACACAATGTATCTATGGGTGGTCAACAGGTGATCCAGCCATCAACATCCAGTGACGGTGCTGAAAGCCAGCAGAAGACACAGAACAGACCAACAAGTAAAACGATACATTTTGGAATATATTGCAATTTTTTGATTGATGTTAAATGAAAGGCCCGAAATGATCGTATCGAGAGGCAATGTGCAAGTAGCATTGTCCTCTGTTCTTCTCTCATAAGACGGTTAGTCTTACACACACGATATACACATGCAATCTTGTAAATCTGGCGTTGTAGACAGGGTAATTCACCCGCCCTTAGTGAACAAAATGCCACCATAAGCACACATGTACCATACAATATCTCAAACAGCTTACAGTGCCTTGATTCGCTATTTGACACTTCGACAAACATGAACCCGTGAAGGTCCGGGTTAGAATGAAACTTCAGTAACCCATGCTTGTCGTAAGAGGCGACTAACGGGATCGGGTGGACAGGCTCGCTTGTTTGGTTGGTTGACACAAGTCATCGATTCCCAATTGCGCTGATCGATGCTCATGTTGTTGATCACTGGATTGTCTGGACCAGACTCGATTATTTACAGACCGCCGCCATATAGCTGGAATATTGCTGAGTGCGGCGTAAAACTAAACTCACTCACTCACTCGACATACATGATAGATATGACAATGAAACACCACAAGGCTAAACATTCGGTGTTACACATGGTAATAGAAGATTTGCTAATATTTGAAACTACCATCCCAACGGCAAAGGAAACACTTTTGGGCATCTACAAACTAAGCAAATGAAGTACAATGTACTTGTTAAAACATTTCAGCAGTGACAAACATAACATGGCACGCCTGTAGGAGGACAAGCAGCATCCTGCATGGGATAGAACATCTCTAGGGGAAAATGACACACCAGTAGCATGATATAGAACATCTCTTGTGGGACATGATACCCCAGTAGCATGACATAGACTATCTGTATAGGGACATGCACTACCCTGCATAATATAGAACGCCTGTAGCAGACATGCCATCCCAGTAGCATGATACAGAACATCTGTAAGCAGACATGAAATACCCTGCATGATATAGACTATCTGTAGAGGACATGGCACCCCAGTAGCATCACAGAGAACATGTGTTGGACATGACACCCCAGGCATACCTTGAGGATAGAACATCTGTAGGGGACATGGCAACCCCAGTAGCATGACATAGGCTATCTGTAGGGGACATGGCACCCCAGTAACAGATAGGATCACATGTGTTGTGGGACATGACACCCCCAGTAACATGATATAGACTATCTGTAGAGGACATGGCACCCCAGTAGCATCACAGAGAACATGTTGTGGGACATGACACCCCAGTAACATGATAAAGACTATCTGTAGGGGACATGGCATCCCAGTAGCATCACATAGAACATGTGTTGTGGGACATGACACCCCAGTAACATGATATAGACTATCTGTAGGTGGACATGGTATACCCTGCAGGATATAGAACATCTGTTATGGGACATGACACCCCAGTAACATGATATAGACTATCTGTAGGTGGACATGGCATACCCTGCAGGATATAGAACATCTGTTGTGGGACATGACACCCCAGTGACATGATATAGACTATCTGTAGAGGACATGGCTTCCCAGTAGCATCACAGAGAACATGTGTTGTGGGACATGACACCCCAGTAACATGACATGATATAGACTATCTGTAGGTGGACATGGTATGACACCCCAGTAACATGACCCTGCAGGATATATGAACATCTGCAGGATATAGGGGACATGACACCCCAGTAACATGATATAGACTATCTGTAGAGGACATGGCACCCCAGTAGCATCACAGAGAACATGTGTTGTGAACATGATGACACCCAGTAACATGATATAGACTATCTGTAGGTGGACATGGTTTACCCTGCAGGATATAGAACATCTGTTGTGGGACATGACACCCCAGTAACATGATATAGACTATCTGTAGAGGACATGGCTTCCCAGTAGCATCACAGAGAACATGTGTGTGGGACATGACACCCCAGTAACATGATATAGACTATCTGTAGGTGGACATGGCATACCCTGCAGGATATAGAACATCTGTTGTGGGACATGACACCCCAGTAACATGATATAGACTATCTGTAGGGGACATGGTATACCCTGCAGGATATAGAACATCTGTTGTGGGACATGACACCCCAGTAACATGATATAGACTATCTGTAGGGGGACATGGTATACCCTGCAGGATATAGAACATCTGTTGTGGGACATGACACCCCAGTAAGATGACATAAACTATCTGTAGGGGGACATGGTATACCCTGCAGGATATAGAACATCTGTTGTGGGACATGACACCCCAGTTACATGATATACACTATCTGTAGGGGACATGGCATCCCATTAGAATGATACCCTGCATCATATAGAACGCCTGTAGCGGACGCCCCACTCTAATATCATCATATACAACAGCATTAGGTGATCCTTGCACACCAGTAGCATGATATAGAACATCGGTAGGAGGACATATAACACCCTGCATGATATAGAGCACCTGCAGCAGGACATGGCACCCCCGTAGCATGATAGACAATACCTGTAGGTGGACATGGCATCCCTGTAGCATGAGAGAGAACATCTGTATTGGGACATGCTATACCCATGCATGATATAGAACATCTGTAGTGTACATGCCACACCCAGATATATAGAACATCTGTAGTGTACATGACACCCAAGTAGCATGATACAGAACATCTGTAGTGTACATGACACCCCAGTAGCATGATACAGAACATCTGTAGTGTACATGACACCCATGTAGCATGACATAGAACATCTGCAGTGTACATGACACCCCAGTAGCATGATACAGAACATCTGTAGGGGACATGACACCCCAGTAGCATGATACAGATCGTCTGTAACATCTGTAGGGGACATGACACCCCCAGTAGCATGATATAGAACATCTGTAGGGACATGACACCCCAGTAGTATGATATAGAACATCTGTAGGATACATGACACCCCCAATTGCATGATATAGAACATCTGTAGGGGACATGGCACCCCAGTAGTATCATATAGAACATCTGTAGGGGACATGACACCCCAGTAGCATGATATACAAAACAGTGTATGGGGACATGACACCCCAGTAGCATGATGTAGAACATCTGTAGGGGACATGACACCCCAGTAGCATGATATAGAACATCATGTAGGGGACATGACACACCCCAGTACCATGACATAGAACATATGTAGGGGACATGACACCCTTTAGAATGATATAGAACATCTGTAGGACATGACACCCCAGTAGCATGATACAGAACATCTGTAGGGGACATGACACCCAAGTAGCATGATACAGAACATCTGTAGAGGGACATGACACACCCTAGTAGCATGATATAGAACATCTGTAGGGGACATGACACCCCAGTAGCATGATACAGAACATCTGTAGGGGACATGGCACCCCAGTAGCATGATACACAGAACATCTGTAGGGGACATGGCACCCCAGTAGCATGATACAGAACATCTGTAGTAGGACATACAGAACATCTGTAGCATGATATAGTATCATATATCATAGGACATGACACCCCAGTAGCATGATATAGAACATCTGTAGGGGACATGACACCCCAGTAGCATGATATAGAACATCTGTAGTGGGACATGACACCCCAGTAGCATGATACAGAACATCTGTAGGGGACATGACACCCCAGTAGCATGATACAGAACATCTGTAGGTGTACATGGCACCCCATAGCATGATATACAGAACATCTGTATGAGACATGACACCCTAGTAGCATGATATAGAACATCTGTAGGGACATGACACCCTGAGTAGCATGATATAGAACATCTGTAGTGTACATGACACCCCAGTAGCATGATATAGAACATCTGTAGGGGACATGACACCCCAGTAGCATGATATAGAACATCTGTAGGGGACATGACACCCCAGTAGCATGATAGAGAACATCTGTAGGGACATGACACCCCAGTAGCATATGACATAGAATGATCTGTAGGGGGACATGACACACCCCAGCTGCATGATATAGAACATCTGTAGGGGACATGACACCCCAGTAGCATGATATAGAACATCTGTAGGGGACATGACACCCCAGTAGCATGATATAGAACATCTGTAGGGGACATGACACCCCAGTAGCATGATATAGAACATCTGTAGGGACATGGCACCCAGTAGCATGATATAGAACATCTGTAGGGGACATGACACCCCAGTAGCATGATATAGAACATCTGTAGGGGACATGACACCCCCTAGCATGATATAGAACATCTGTAGGGACATGACACCCCAGTAGCATGATATAGAACATCTGTAGGGGACATGACACCCCAGTAGCATGATATAGAACATCTGTAGGGGACATGACACCCCAGTAGCATGACATAGAACATCTGTAGGGGACATGGCACCTAGTAGCATGATATAGAACATCTGTAGTGGGACATGACACCCCAGTAGCATGATATAGAACATCTGTAGGGGACATGACACCCCAGTAGCATGATATGAGAACATCTGTAGGGGACATGACACCCCAGTAGCATGATATAGAACATCTGTAGGGGACATGACACCCCAGTAGCATGATATAGAACATCTGTAGGGTACATGACACCCCAGTAGCATGATATAGAACATCTGTAGTGTACATGACACCCCAGTAGCATGATATAGAACATCTGTAGGGGACATGACACCCCAGTAGCATGACACAGAACATCTGTAGTGTACATGACACCCCAGTAGCATGATATAGAACATCTGTAGGGGACATGACACCCCAGTAGCATGATATAGAACATCTGTAGGGGACATGACACACCCAGTAGCATGATATAGAACATCTGTAGGGGACATGACACCCCAGTAGCATGATACAGAACATCTGTAGTGTACATGACACCCCAGTAGCATGATACAGAACATCTGTAGTGGACATGACACCCCAGTAGCATGATACAGAACATCTGTAGTGTACATGACACCCCAGTAGCATGATATAGAAC